GTTCCTAAAAGAACCATCCTCAGGTGTATATAATTATATAAAGATTCAAAACGATAAATAATTCAAATACAATTTTCATACATTATGCTAGCGTACATTTTTATCAGATTTTTACCAGATATCAAATGATGTTCTTTTTCAGATTTTTATTCCATTTTTAATAACAAGATTTAATATATACTTATTATATCACAATATGACGCAACTTTACCATCTTATAAAATCTTAAGCTCCTGCAACTGTCGTTGCAAACATTTTTGATACAGTTAATATTTAATGAAATGCAAACATTGACGGATCATTCATGTTAACCTGTTTCTTACATATTTTCATCATAGTATAGATTGAAACATTTGGAAATGTTACTATTATAATTACTTCCCACACCTTCTTGTTCTTCCAACGTCTCTCTTTACTTTTGAATCCTCCATTAATTAAAATAATTATTATATTTGTTAAAAATAAACAAAATTACCACAAGCGTAATTAGAGAATACATTAACGTGCTAATTAATTGTTAATCTAAAACTGAGCATTTATTCCATTCTGTTATTACTGCCCTTTGTCCCACGTGTATCCTGGATGCAGTCCAGATCTTGGGACAGGCCGTGGTGCTTTCTATTCTGCAGGTACCGTGTTCGAATCTCCTCCTGTTCCTTCCAACTTTGAAATCGCTGTCAACGTCACTTAGCCTATATTATTATTCACTAATGACTTCAGAAGTAGGTGTATCGTCGTTACATAATTTAATAATCATAATAGAAACAGCTGTTTATTTCGCCGCTCATTAGATGAGGGTGATTAATGTTTGCAAGAATAATTCAGAGAATTGTTTGTTCTAATACTCTTACCATTACTCGCGTTCATAATCCCCTGTTTCAGCGTTTTATACTACTGGAAAATATAGTTTTATTCGCTTTATATGTCTGTTTCGTAACTTCGTTTTCTGTAGAATTAGGTCTAATTCTAAAAGCTGCTTACTGGTAGCAGCTCTTATAAAATTGAACATTCTGCCATCTGGCGTCATTACTAAGAACATGGCGAGTCATCCGTAACTCACACAGTTAATGCAAGATTCTGCAATAAAATATAAAATCTTAAGTATATATTAAATCTTGTCCGTTTAATCACAATAAATTCTTATTAAATATTAAAATATTACAATAATTAACATTTAAAATATTTAAAATATTAAATGATGTTCTTTATCGAAATATTCGATTTACATTAGACCATCATTTTTCATGTTTCACATGAAAAATGAAAAAAAAATGATGGTCTAATGTAAATCGAATATTTCGATAAAGAACATCATTTAATATTTTAAATATTTTAAATGTTAATTATTGTAATATTTCAATATTTAATAAGAATTTATTGTGATTAGA